CCAAGGTTCCTTCCCTCCCAGATCCAGGACTTTGCGTTTGTCCTCGCTGAATTTCACAAGGCTCCTCCAACCTGGCTAGATCTTTTTGAATGTCAGCCTTGCCATTTTCCTTCATAATATATGTATGCAAACTATACACATATATACATAAATGCATCACTGCCCTAGATTTTAAAGTATCAAAATGGTTTAAAGGATCTGTCACCCTTCATGTCTATATACGCTTCTAAAAGAAGTACAGTGCTAATGAAATTCTGTACAATAACTGTGCTGTCTACTGTGTTTGACATGCAAAAAAATAACTTTCCTAATTCTCAAGTGAATAATGCCCTCCCGGTTCTCAGATCTGGGAAGGAGAACAAAAACTACTATAATTTTACATTGCCTCATGCTTTTTAAAAGCAGAATAAATAATGAAGCAGTTGCAATGTTTACTGACATTTGTAGATGTCTTGTAGATATATTAAATTGTTGTGGCTAAATTTAATTTCAGCATTTGGTTAAGAATTCAGTGAATTTTTACTTTATGGCAATGAGTTTGCTACACCATTTTGGCAGCATGCTTTTCTACTTGGAAAATGATATGTAACTTCTATGGCAGGAGATGTTTCCCAACTATATCAGACAAGTCCTATTTTAGAGTTTCTGGATGAAATGGAAACATTATTTTTAGAAAAATCATATTCTGGGCAGAGAGTGTTATTTAACTTTATATATTCTTTTTAGTTATCTGGAAAGATCAGATCAAAAACATAGAGCTGACTTTCCTAAAGATTGGTTTATTACTTCCTTGTAAGGTGAAGATTTTTTTTATATTCTTTGTAAATATCTGAAATGTCAACATTGTGTTTGTTTTTTCTTTACTGGATTGCAAATGAAACTTTTTTAAATGGTCATAATAACTAGTCAACTTCTCACAAAAGAAATATTACAAAGTCATGGAATATTCTGAGTTGGAAAGGACCCACAAGGAACAATTAGGGTTGGACCATATCTTGATGATGTAAAAGATCCAGGATTAATGCCTTATTCAAATGGAAAAACAAAACACAACGAAACAAAGAAGCAACAAGCAAAAACCATCAAAAAGAGCTTAACACAGTCCAAAAGGCTTTTGTCTTTTTTGCACAGTATACAGTATATCTAAGCTATTAATTAGGGAAGCTCAGTTAAGTTCCTGAAATAAGTCATGGTGAATTGTATGTTTCTTATCCACAGAATACTTAATTAAATAATATCAAAATGTTGCAGAAGATGAAATAAAATACATTTTAGTCTAGAAAAAAAAAAAACTTTCCTGCTATCAGACATAAGTCCAGATCCATTTTTTTAATCAATTAGATGTGATAGATCTTCATTCCAGATTATTGTCGTTTACAGTTTCTGTTCTACATCTCTCCAGAAAATGGGTTCTGACTCTGAGGTATGTTAATAATAGCATAAAATATTAAGTTACTACAAAATGTTTTGCTTCAGGTGAAAACACCTTGTTCAGTTCGCAAACATATAGAGGTATTTTTTTCTGCTAATTAGCTACTTACCACCTACTGTTGTGAGGGACACCATGCAAGCACACAATGAAAAGGATAGGTCTCTGCCCAAAGAGAACAAAGATGCTAAAAAGGCAACATTACCCCTCTTTATACAGAGATAGAAGAGAGGGATAGAAAGCAGCCTGTGGTTGAACCTGGAGTTCAGTCCAGTTATTCAGTATCACCACTCTCTGAAGAAACCCCAAGTCTGTTCCTAATATTAACATTTGTTTAATTCTCTTGCAACTAGCTTATATGGAGCTCGTCACTTGATTAAAGATTATAGAAATGTATACCAGACACACTAAGAATACTGTGTCCACTCAGCAAAATAACTTTAGGTATATCTTTGTGGACATAAAATGATATAAGATGTAAAAATAGTCAGAGGAGTTATAACAGCTTTAAATCCACTACTCAGTTTTAGTTTTAGAAATTCCTCTTTTCGTAAAGTCAGGATGTAAGCTTGATTTTATGTTAGCCTCTGATCCTACTCTGCTGTAAATATCTGTAGAAATAATGGGAAAGAAAAAAATGAAAATACAGAGACACAACAAAAACTCACAAAGTACTTAGAAAAGAATATCACCAAAGTTCTGAACAAGAAATGTAGCATTTTGAGTGTCTTCTCATCCCTTTTCAGTAGGTTTGTGAAAATTATCTAAGGTTTATGCATGCTGCTTCTATATCTTCTGTAACAGTTTGAGAGACTTTATGATGCTGTAATTTAAAAGAAAGTGTCTGTCTTACAAACATTTTCCCCATTTCCCAACTGTCTTGTTATTTCTAGTGAGCACTCAGCAGTACATGGAATGGCATATAAATTCCTGATCTTGCAATGGATAAGACCTGTTAAACTGAAATCAACATTCAAGTTTGAGGGATTCAAAGAAGCCAAATGTTGTGTGCTGGGTTTGGTTTTATTTCTGTTTTTCTTCTTTACAAGCAGCTCTTAAAAAATTCAGTGATTCTGTAGTAGTCCAAAACTCTTCAGTAATTGTAAGCTTAGTGTGGCAGCATTGCACAGAATAGGTCAGGCATTTTCCAGCAAAGTAGGCTTTCATGTTGGATGGACATGTAGTAATGTCAACCAGCTTCCAACTGGCTTGTTTCAGAAACCTGACTGGTCTATTTCCAAGTTACTTTTGCCTGCAGATATCCAAGATTTTTTTGGGGACTGTCCTGGGTTGAAACACTTTGTAGTGTCCCAGCTTTGTAGCCCCAGGCATGCTAGGCTTTGAGACAGTTGGTTCCAGGCTTGCTGGACCTAAAGCTTCCCACGGTCCCCGTGTGGCACAGGCTTAATGGGAGGCTGTATCTGAAGGATCAACGTGACTTATCTTTAGACACTTACATGAGGTACCAAAATTAGAAGCTGTCAATCTGGGAGATAGGGACCTACAGATTGCAGCTGAAATTGTTGCTGGATTAGATTTCAGATTTCAATTTTATGTAAAAAAAGAGTATAATCCATATACATACACATATTATCATCTACAATTTCTTAAGCCTCTTCCTCAAATTTTGTATTTTAATTTCCGAAATGAAATACATCCTTCTTAATTTTCAGTAAAACATTTCTATATGGAAATTCCTTTGTTCCCCATTCCATGACTTTAGCAGGTAAATTTTAAGGTTCTAGATTGAATCATTTAGTTTTATTTGAAAGAAAAATGGGACAGAACTGTGCCATCCTCAGACAGAAACAGAAAGGACAGGTAGTTATTTTCACTGCTTAAATGCAACATTTTCGTAAAATTATCCTATGTATGAGGATAGTAAGGACACCTTTTACTGTTATTTTCATACCGTTCCTTCTACTGGCTTTTCTTGGGGTGGATCATAAATCCTTACGGATTTATTCAAGAAACCATCTCTCTATTCCCCTTAACAGGTAAAAGAAGAACGTTAAAATGGCATATGTTTCTGATTGATTTTTCCCTGTTGTTGATGCCTTGGATGTTTGATTCAGATAATTCAAACTACAAAAGCACAGAAGTACAGACCATGGATATTGATTTTAATCTGTGGTTTGCAGTTCTCAGAATTGAGGATTATTATTTTGGGCTTGTCCATAATAATAACATACTTAGCTAGCCTGGGAAGTCTAGAAATTTGACTATAAGTCTTGAGAGTACAAAATGTGTTCTGCTATTTCCAGAATTTTGAGGTATGGTGAGATTACAAATACTGCACAATTTACCACATCTCCAAATTTTGATCCTTCTCTTCCTCAACATAATTGAATGACATTAAAAACAGTAATGACAACAAAAGCTCAGTTGCTTAAACAGAATTTTCTAGTCTTTGAGAACTTTTCTAGTCATGCATTAGATGAAAAAAAAAAGGAAACGCTTTTGCTTTCACGTGATTTTTAATCCAAATACTATAACAGTTTTCTTCCTCCAAGCTTAACCAGTGTGTATATGTCTTAGTAATGTCTTTTGAATCTGCACTCTCTGGAAGAGTTTTTCTTCTTTGTGCCACTTCAACAATGAAAAGCATTTGGAAACCTGGTTAAATTTGCAGTCCAGCTCAGATTCATAATTCTTCTGCATAAACAGCATGGATCAAGATATCTGGATGGTTACAATGTGCATGACCTGTCTGCTCTCTGCTGCTCTTGTGCATTAATGATTCAGACCCTTCTTAGGCTTTGAAGAGAGAAGTATGAGCTTTAAGTAAATAACGATTCCAAATAAAAAAGGCTTAAATACTTCTTTTGAGAGCTTGGCCAAAGCACGCCTAAGAGGCCAACCTATAATTTAAAAAATAAGGATAACTCTGGAATGGGTCAGCAGGGCCCCTTTAAATATTATTCTGGTTTGGATTTTGGCATTCTCTGGGATTTCATATATCACTCAGTGCCAACTGATAGCCTGTGAGTTGAATCAGTATGCAGCTGACTTGTGGTCCCATCCTTTTTTCCACTAGATTGCTGTGGAACTTCTGGTTCTCATTTGAGTTTGTTTTATACTTTTGCCAGTTGTTGAATATTTCCCCATCCCCCTTTGTCAATAGGATTCAATATATTTTATGTTTGTTTTTTTTTTTTAATGAATATCTCTTTTGTTTAGCAATTTTCCAACACTGTAGGCATATTTCCTTACTCCTTCTAATGTTTCTGAAATAGGGTGGTACTTTGAAGATGTTTTAAACTGATTACTGGTCTTCATCTTTTTTTAAGTATCTTAGTGGTTAGTCTTCATGGCTTTTCCTGATTTCTTAGACAAATATACCATACCTATTACACATTCAATCACAGATTCTTTACTCCTCCATGGGTTTCCTGTATGTTTTATCCTATTGGTCTAAACCATGTAAAGCAAAAAAACAGAGATGGTTAGAAATTAATATTACTGAATATTACTCCTGCAACATAAGTAACTAATGCCACATCTATCTCTTAACATGTGTTGTGGTTTATCCCTGGCAGGGAGCTCACTGTCACATATACTTGTTCTACTCAATGGGGTGGAGGAAGGAATCAGAAGAGTAAAGGTAAGACAACTCATGGGGTGATTAAAAAGCTATTTAATGGGTAAAGTGAAAGCTGTGCATGCAAGGCAAGAAAAAAAAAA